TTGTCCTTCATTCACTTTATAGTGTCTTGATGAATAGAAGTTCTTCATTTTAATGTATAGAAATTTATCAATCTTTTGCTTTGTGACTTGTGAATTTTGTGTCTTTTTTAAGACTCTGAGGTCATAAAGATTTCCCTATTTATCTTCCAAAATTTTTATATTTTTGCCTTTTTTGTGTAGATCAATAATGCACCTGGAGTTGAGTTTCTAGTACAGTGAGATGTGAAGATCCATTTTGCTGTGTGTGTGTATGAATATGAATACCCAATTGTCCCAACACTATTTACTCAATAGCCCACTTCCAGCATTATTCTGCAGTGTCCGTTGTATCATAAAGCAAGCACAAGCACACATGCACTGATCTATTTCTGCGTTCTTCACTCTGGTCTATTGGTCTTCTTGGTCTGTTTGTCTATTCCTGCACGGAACACCCTTCCCTGTCTTTCCCGTAGCTTTATAATAAATCCTGACGTCAGGAAGAGCAAGACTCTCGCAGCATCTTAGTTTTCTTCACGCATCTGTAGACCACCTTCATCCCTTTACATTACCATGTCATTATCAGGATTGTCTTTCAAATTCAAAAAAGATGTCAGCAAGCACTTTAATTGGAATTACATTAAACCTATAGATCAATGTGGAGAAATCTGACTTCTTTACATCTCTTTATTTGGGTCTGTGAGGTTTCTCAAAGATATCCTGTGTGTCTTTTGTTATACATATTCCTGTGTCCTGGGTTTTTATGCCATTGTAAATTGCACCTTTTTAAATCCTTAATTTCTAATTTTCTGGTTTTGATGCACAGAATATGATTGATTTTATAGTTGATCGACAACTTTATAAACTTTCTTATTAATTCTAATAATCTGTAAATACTCTTGGACTTTCTATACTCATATTGTCAAATAACAAGTTTTGTTTTCACCTTTCTAATTCTTATACCATTTATTTATTTTAATTTTTTTTTTTTTTTTTCCCCCAATGCCCCAGTAGATAGTTGTATGTCATAGTTACACAGCCTTCTGGGACACGGCCTCAGCATGGCCGGACAAGCGGTGTGTCGGTGCACGCCCAGGATCCGAACCCGGGCCGCCAGCAGCGGAGCGCGCGCACTTAACCGCTAAGCCACAGGGCCGGCCCTTATTTATTTTAATTGCTTTAGTGCACTCAACTCAAAAGCAAACCTTTAAATTTTTCACCATTAGCTATAATGCTTGCTACAGGTTTTTACAAATCACCTGTGTCAGAACAAAGACGTCCCCTCATTCCTAGTTGCCAAGGCTTTTTATTAAACATTTTTTCTGCATCTATTAACATGATTATGTAATTTTTATCCCTTAATCTGTAAATTTAGTGAATTATATAATTTATTTTATAATGTAAACATTGTTTTCTTGTTGTTAGTGCTGTTGAGTGGATTCTGACTCCTAGGGACCCTGTGTACAGCAGAGTGGAACCTTGTCCAGTGTTTTTTCGCCATCCTCCCACCTTCCCACACTGTATCAGATGATGCTCCACTGCTATTCATAGGGTTTCCATGGCCAATTTCTTTGGAAGTGGGTGCCCACGTCCTTCTTCCTAGTCTGTCTGAGTCTGGAAGCTCTGCTGAAACCTGTCCACCATGGTGACTCTGATGGTATTTGAAATATCAGAGGCATAGCTTTCAGCAACACACAGCACGACAACCGACAAACGGGTGGGGTAGTTCCCTGACCGGGAAACAAACCCAGGCCAAGGTGGTGAGAGCGCCGAATCTTAACCACTAGACCACCATGTAAACATTGTTAGGGAAGACTAACACACACAAACATCCCCAAGTGTGTACTAGCTCAAAAAATTAGAAGTTTATCACCTACGTAACAGCCCAAGACAGAAGTTCCTAGTGGGCAAGAAGCTCTTCTTCATATGCCTATCCTTCCACCTTGTAACTCTGCCATCCCCAAGGAGCCTGTCATCATCCACATCCAGAAAGCAGAAGGTGAAACAGACCATGAGGAGGCACATTTGCTCTCTTAAAAGCCTTGGCCTGGAGGCTGCATTCCATTGGTGAGAGGCAGTCACTGGTCACAGCTAGTTGCTTCCCACTGACAACTCCATGCTGTGAAAGAGGAGCACAGATTTTGATGGAGAGCCAGCTGATGCTGCTATAAACCCCAGGTGGTCTTGATGCATTATATTTTACATATTGCTAAATCCACTTTTCTGAATTTTCTTTAGGATTTTGCGTGTATGTCTAAGCAAGATAGGCCCGTATTTCTTTTCTCCTACTGTCTTTGTTGGGTTTTGTCATCAAGTTTATGCTAACTTCACAAGATGAGTTCAGTTGTGCCAGCTGTAAACGTGTTACCTCTCAGCTCTAACTCCACTTTTCACTGCCCTGCTTCTGCTACCGGGTCGTTTCTGCCCTGCCCGCTGACACAGTATCAGGCTCTGTCGGCAGAGGGAGCTGTAGAGACACTGGAGGAGGAAGTTTCTCTTCCTGGTTCTGGTGTGCTTTCCTTCCTCCTTGTTCCCACACCCAGCGGCACTCACCTCCCAGTGAGTTTCAGGGCACCTGAGATGGCTTCCTGGTGGAGAGTTCAGAGGCACCCCAGCAAGCAGCTTCCTGCGAGTTCTGCAGGTGCCCCAGCCGGTTTCTGGAGAGTTCAACAGCACGCCCATGGAGGGCTTCTCAGCAGCCCACCATCAAGCCCAGCCATGCCCCAGCAGGCTTCTCAGCAAGTTTCACAGTTCCTCCCTTCCCCATGGGCAGCTTCCAGGTGAATTGTATAGGCATCCGGGGGCAGGAGGGTGGGGTCCTGCCTTCTACTGGCTCACAGTTCTTGCCCACCACATCTTGGCCCAACAAACATGGACCATCTACAGTCCAGACCAACCCAGTAAACCTCTCTGCCATCTTTTGAGCTGAACTGACACCATCTCTAACAAGGTCTCACTCCAGCCTTAGGGAGGGCCCCCTCCCTTCCCAATTTGTTTCTTCCTTGGGTACTCTCCTTCAGGGTATTCTTTACAATCCTCTTTTATCTCCACATAAATAGATAATAATTCTTTATATCAAATCTCCCTTGCTCAAATTATTGTGTGGTTACTGTCTACTGGACTGGACCCTCACTGTCACAGAATTGGTGCCAGGAATGATCAGAGCAGAGAGGCTTGCAAAGATGGGATATTGGAATTGATTTGTTGTGTTCTTAAGCCTAAACAGGGTTGAGCTTGATGCCAGTGGGAAATGGGATGGTAATCTGTGGCTGTGGGAAGGATGGTAATCTGTGGCAGTGGGAAATGAGATGGTAATCTGTGGCAAGCACTGGCATCAGAATTAATCAAGCATCACCACCTCTGCTTGATTGTGATGAAATGCAGATTGAAGCGAGTGCCTTGGAGCCCCAGTGGCCACTGGACTTGTTTTTTCATGTAGTAATGCTGACTATGGGGATTATGGTGTGGGATAGTCTCCCGAGTGCACTAGAGTGCTTACAGAAAGAAAATCACAAGTCACGGTGAGAACCAGAGAACTTCCATGACAGCCGTAAAGGAAGTTCTTTTTCTTATAGTCATGGGGCTGATATTCCTAAAAATCAAACAGAAGAGTTAAATGTACTGATTGTGAACAACAGCTGAAATCACTGGGCATTGATTGGGAAAGCACAGGATCATGAAACTTCAAGGAGACCCAGATGAAACTTGATCAGATAAAACTGATCATCTGAGACCCCAAGTTATTCTGAGCCTCCCTTGCCACTAGTAGTTTGCCCCACGGTGTCTCAGAAGATTCATATTCCTTTGCTTGAAAATCTCGTGATAACCTTGCCAAGCAAGGGTAGATGCCTTGAAAGGGGACACTTGTTCTCAAGACCCACCACAACCACCCTCTGTTGCCATTAGATACAGAACTAGAGACAATTCACATCATGCTCCACAGGGACAAGTGTACACCATGCCCCAGGAATAGCTTACACACCTAGAAAATGAGCAAGACTTTTCTAATGTATACCAGTAGAAATTGGGAAACATATGTGCAAGTGGATTCTAAGGTGTTAGACCAAGGAGGGTAGCATATAACACTAGATCAGGCCTAATTTATGGATGATAGTGAAGTTACTAGAGAGTCCAGATTTAATGTACTCAACTCGACCAGCTGGAGGTGGGTTTAAGCAGCACATTTGATTGTTTGACTAAAACTTCACTCAAAAATGGCCTACATTTTACAAGGTTGAGATGCCAGAGCTTCCCCAGCATGGAGAAGGGAATCCAAAGATGTGAGGAGACAGGAATGTTGGACTGGATTGATCCTGTGTGACCTGCACACCTCCCTCCCAAATACATCCTTCAAGAAGGCTGAGAAGACACTGCTTTCACTAAGGCACTGAGAAATACATTAGTAAGAAGGGCCGGACTTGACCACCAACAGCAAGGGTGGGGGGGTGCGTCTGCCATGAAAAACAGCAGGTATGTCATACCGGTAATCAAAATACCTTGGTCCACAGGGATCTTTGACAGTGGTTAATTGAAGTGGTGCCCCTAGGAAAACAAGAGTACTGATTGAAATATAAAACAGGGGGGAAAGAATCTTTAGGTCTAGTAGCCAAAAACTTGACTTGAGTCCCAACTGTGGATAGTGACAGCCTCTCAGCCAGTTGCCAGACCTAATTGAATTCACAGGCTGAGACCCCTTGGTTGACAGGGAGGCTGGGTCCTGTGGTGGAAGAACCCGGCCACACTGCCTCAAGTATGTTACGTGAATCCTCCTCCAAGCCTTCCCACATCCACTCTTTGCTCAGCTGTGACACTGGAACATTTCCTCCTTGCCAGCTGGCATGATGTTAAGCTTTTCAGTAGAGGGCACTGGAGGGACACTGGGAAGAGGAAGGAGTTTCTCTTTACAGCTCCATCGTGCTTTCCTTCTTCTTACTCCCTTGGCATTTGGCTGTAGGTGAGACACCCAGTGGCACTCACCTCAAGCAAGTTTCATCAGCGCCCAGCCAGCAACTTCCTGGTTACTTTCTGCAGGTATCCTAGCTGACTTCTGAGAGAGTTCAACTTCCCCACAGCCAGCTTCCCAGCAAGTTCAACCACACCCCCTGCAAGCAACTTCCCAGTGAATTTCTTTGGCACTCCAGCAGGTGGTTTCCTGCCCACCAGCCTCAGCCCACCAATCGAGGGAAACACAGTGAACTTCTCCACCCTAGAGTAGGCTGCAACCTCTACAAAACCTTTGTATTATTTGCTGACAGTGAGTGTGGCTACAGGAAAGACACAGGTCTGGAGATCCTGAGAATTTCTGTACATTCTCATCTTGCACAGCCATGGTTACTAGAACATTTGTGAATGCCCACTGAGAAGGGGCACGTCCCCCTAACTTTGCCAGTCTCCCCCACTCCCTACTACTACACCTTGTGTTTCTGCACAAATTATGGCTCCTACATGGCCACTATAGGGTTACAGTCAATGACACCTGCCCACCAGGTTCTGGACTTAAGGGAACATGGCTCCTGGGCAGGTCCTGAGAAAAAGCTCACCCTCAGCAGTGCTGGGGAACGGGGGACATCCCCTGGATACAGGGGACCAAACTCATGATGCTCCGAGATGCACTGGGGGTTGTCACACCAGCCACATCCTCCTCAGGGTGACCTCTGGGCCCAAAAAAAAATCCTGAATCCAGGCCACAGGATTAAGCCCACAAATCCCACCAGTCATTCCCAGGAGGTCTTGGGCAGCAATACAAATCAGACCAAAAGTGGACTGAGAGTTCTTCTCTGTCGTCCCATCACACCCACCCCTTTAACACTAGTAGAGCCCAATTCTGTTCTCAACCCACCCCACACAGCAAACAGAAACCCCCAGACTAAAGGTGGCTTACATAGTAAGGGCTTTATTTCCACACCCAGCAAAATAACGGGAGGCAGGCAGTTTCTTTAGATGTTTGACTTGGAAGAAAGACAAATCCATCAAGAGTCATATGAGGACAACGACGTCCCTGAAAAAAAGGTAAACAATCCCTGGAAACCACAAAAAGGACCCCAGCTGAGGTCCTCCTGGCCAAAGTTGGTCACACTCATGCCCTAACTGGTCAAGAAGTTAATGAGGCCCTCCCATGGGCTCAGGCTGCTTCTGAGCCCCTCCAGAGCCTGGAAAGAGAACACTGGGATGGTCTCCAAGTTCTTCCCAGCTGGCAGAGTGGTGAGGTGGCTTCTCCCACAGGCACTGACAGCGAGTTAACTCTGGCAAGGGCCCTGGGCAGGTTAGAAAGTTCAGCACCGTAGCTCCCAAAAGCTTCCCACACACCAGCACTCATTAGGAATATCCCCCACGTGGGTGTCTGACTTTATGAAGTTCAACTTCCAGCTGACGGCATCCTCACAGAGGTGACTCTCAGAGCTTCTCTCTGGCGTGCATCCTGTCATGTTGAACAAGGAGAGAGCACACTCCCTGCACACTTGAGGATTTTCTCCAGAGTGAACTTTCTGATGCTGAATGAGGTGAGGCCCTGGGCTGATGGTTTCCCGGCATTGGCTGTAGTTGTAAGGCCTTTCTCTATGGTGAATTCTCCGTGCTGAATAAGGAAGCCACTTCGGTGAAAGGCCTTCCCCCATCTGCATTTGTGAGGTCTTCCTCGAGGGTGAATTTGCCAGGGGTGAATGAGGGTGGACCTGCAGCTCAGTGCTTTCTCTCGCTGGTCATACTTAGAAGGCTTTTATGCAGCACAAGGTTGAAGTTTTGGCAGAAGGTTTTCCCATATTGCTGCACTCCTAACACCTTCCTTCGTTGTGAACTTTCCAGTGCCACATCAGAGGAGGCCTTTGGCTGAATGCTTCATTCCGTGCCTTCAAAAGGACTTTCTCTAGTGTAAACTTGCTCAAGCCAAATGAGCTTAGAGATGTGGCTAAATGTTCTCTGATATTGACTGTGCTCAAGAGACTTTTCCATTGTGAACCTTCTGGTGCCAAACAAGCGTGTATCCTCCGCTGAATGCTTTCCCATATTGACTGCACTCACAAGGCTTTTCTCCAGCGTGCACTCGCTGGTGTTGAATGAGGCCGGAGCTGGGCCGATGCATTTCCCCTATTCACTGCACCAAGACCTCCCCTCCAGGGTAGCTGCCCGGGCTCCCTCACGTCAGCTGTACTTCCCAACCGTGAGTGGCCTGGTGCGGGAGGCCAGTGCTGGCGCGGAAGTGTCCTCCTGCACACTAAGGCCTTCTGTGACATGTGCACTCCGCAGCTCTTCACAAGGCCCTGCCCTCCCTTTCTGCAGGGTGTCTCTCGGCTGTGCGGCTTCGGAGCTGGTTAAGCCGAAGCCGAAGCCGAAGCCGAAGCCTCCCCCACACGCCTCTTCACTTGTAATTTCCGCCCGCGGCGGCTCCCCAGGACTCAGCCAAGGCTAAACGACTCTCCAGCCTGGGCCACTCACCCCAGGGAACGGGCCTCTGAGCGGACAGACCTGCCTGGGGTGTCCTGACCTGACTCTCTTACAAACACACCTGCCCGGCAGGCGCCTTGTCCTCCGCTCCACACCCCCCGGAGTCACAAAAGCAAGGTCTCCCACGTCGCATCACCGCGCTGCGGGCTCCGAGCCTTATCAAGCAGCCACTCCTCCCGGGAGAAGCACACGGCCACATCCTCAGATGCCACGCGGGCCCGCCACTATGGGAACCCCAGTCTGCAATCCTGCCGGACCGCCGCGCAGAACTCTCTAGGGCGCCTAACCAGGAGTGACCTAACGGCAGAAAACAAGACCACCAAGAGGACGACTGCGGTAGTCCCGCCCCCACGTAGTTCACACGCACAGGAACTCTCCTCTCCCGGGTCTTCATTGACCCGGCACCATTGTGACGTAAGCGGAATGGGCGCCGGGAAATGGCGTTTCCCCGCGGGGCGGGGCTTCACTTCCTCGACCCGCCAAGACTTCCGCGGCAAGTACTCAAATGCCACTTCCCGCAGGGCAGTGGCTGCTGTGGTTACTGTCCTGAGCACCTCTTTAAATTAGGTAAATTCTATTTTCCTAGGAATTTGTCCATTTCCTCTAAATTTTCACATTTACTATCATGATGTTGTTTATAATATCCTTTTTGGGTATCTACATGATCTAAAGTTACCCTTATTAGTGTTCAACAGTGATTTGTATGCCTTTTTGTCTAGATTAGTCTCTCTAGAGGTGTACCAGTTTTATTTCTTTAGAAAGAAGCGACTTTTGGCTTTGTTGATGCCCTCTGTTGTGTGTGTGTGTGTGTTTAATGAATTTCCACTCTTCATGACTTTCCCCTGTCTTCTCTCTGTGGGTTTATTTGCTCTTACTTTCTAACCTCTTATTTTCAGCCTTTCTTCGTTTTAGGCATTCTCTCTTGACTTCTCCCTATGGAAAATGAGGATTATTTCGCTTGCACGCACACAGCTTCCCATCCATCCTCTGCCCACCCTCCATCCCCCTAATAGAGTTTTATGGTTATTATTCAGTGTCGATGCTATTAGGACTATGTAAATACTAATCACAGCTGAATCATCTAGTATTACTGTGATCACTTTTTCTTTCTTGCCCAATCTTTTGTTTTCCTTGGAGTTATGTCCCTTGGTTCCCAGGTATTTGTCCATAATTCAATCCCAGCTCCTATCTAAATATGTTCAGAGGCAAGAAATAGTCTAATAATTAAGACATCTTCTCTGGAACCTCCTCACATCTCAACTAGATTGGGTGCCTTCTCTGCAGGTGCACAGCTGCCATCCTGGAAGCTTTTATGCTCCTGGGGAGTCACCTTGCTCCTCTTTGTGTTGGATCCCCCATTTCTTATATACCATGTTTTCTCCTTTCTTGGTTTACTCCCTCATTAAATTAGGTAAATTTCTATTTTCCTAAGGAAGACTACATCCTCAAGTAGTTTCCTAAGGGTGTGTGGAATACAAATCTTTAAAGAAACTACGGTCTTGAGCTTGAGTTTCAATCTAGCTGGAAATACTTTTCCTTCAGAATTCTGAAAGTAAAGGTCCACATTCCTCTATTGTCCAATGTGGCATGTGAGAACTCCAAAGCTATTCTGATTCCTGGTACTTTGGATGTGTCCTGTTTATTCTCTGCAGAAGTTATAGAATCTTTTCTCCCCAGTGTTCTGAAATTCCACAGTGATGGTCTTGGTGAGGGTCTTTCTTCTTTCATTGTTAGTACTAGGTTGGCCCTTGCAATTTGCAAACTCACAGCCTTCCTTCACAGCATCTTCTTGAATTATTATTGGAATCCACTCTAAGGTGTGTGACCATTTCTTTGGCCACATTTGGTATTGGTATCTTTAGGTCTTTCCTTTTAGGCTGGTGACATTCCCCAAGAAGTCTCTTTCTGCTTTATTTCCTGCCTGGGGCATATGAGCCTGGTGATCAAGCTGAGGACTTGACAGCCTGAAGGCTGAGGATGGCACATGTCCTTTCAGTCTTCCACTGGGCTGGGGCAGGCACAACTGCCCAACCATGTGGAGAGGCATAACTGCTTCTTAACACAGGCTTCCAGCCAGTCCTGCTCTCACCCTTTGTCACAACCACTTCTAGAGGTACCTGGAACTGCCAATTCCAGAGCCTTTAGAGCTTTGCAGTAAAATCAGATTCTCAGACGTTCTCCTTTCTTTCTTACAATGTCATTTTCTGGGGTGTTTCTAGGTCAGTTACAACTCATGTTTTCTTGAGAGGTCCAAAATTTTGTTGCTATTTATGGTCATCCTAGTGGATTTATGTTTTTTAAAAAGTAAAAATTCCCTTTCATTTTAATAGAGTTTCAGGAAGGAGCTATGATAAAGGGCCACATCTAGCTATACAGAAGTCTGGGAAATGAAGACTTTACTCTGGGAATTCAAGTGTCCAGCTAAAACTGTGGGTTCTGTTATCACAGATGGAGACAATGGAAAGTGAAGGAAAAGTAGCAATCTCTGCCACGCAAATCCAGCTGGTTTTGAGGAAAAGAGAAAGTGACGTGTCATGCAAAAACAGCTATTCTGAGTTTGCTGCCTAGGATTTCACACAGTATGACAACCCTGCTCATGCCAAGTCTGGACATTTAGATAAGGACCTGAGCTTAGGACATGCACCACAAGTTCCCACTTTGCTTCTCCGGGGCACCTTTTAACATAACCACTTAGAGTTGAGCCCATGCAGTTAGTGACCTTCGCCCCAACCACCTCCTAAGTAATAGATGCTTGCTACTCTGCTCTCCATCTCCTCACTTGTGACCTAGGACGGACAACTGCCCTTCCCCTGGTTCACTGCGCCCACCATCCCACCCCCCGTTTCTGGGATCTGTAAGTAATAAATCTTGTTGACGACTTCCTCTGTGTGGGTGTATTGAAACTGCACCTTCAATCAAAATGACCCTGTGGTTTTCGCTTCCCCAAAGTGGAGCTCGGATGCTGAGGGAGCTACCTGCCGACCCCGTGTGGGTGGCTTGTGCCTCCTCATTCAGCAGATCATAATCTGCATATTCTTAATACACCAGCTCCAGCCTCTCAACAGGAGACCACCTTTTCAGTAGAGCAGGAGAGGTGTGTGGGGGGCGACGGGGAAGGGGGTCGTAGGCTGTGAGGAATGCAGAAAATAGCAAAAATAGCAGATAGAGACATGCTAGGGAGCCACTGAGATGAATAAATGTCTTTATTTAGTTCAGTCATTCCTGGGTTCATCCCAAAGCTTCACACCTCACCCTCCACTGTCAAAATAAGTCATGTATAACAGGGTCCCAGAAACAATGGTCTTCTCACAGTCTCTACCACCTCCCCACCCCACAGAGCACTGTAGGGACAAGGTCACCTTGCTTGAAAGCCATGGGTTTCAAACACTTTTAGGGACACACACTCTTCAAACCAGAAACCCCACTAAGTAAAAGAGGCTCACTGGCAGTTTAAACTTGTGCAACATTTTGGGTACCTCCCTGGAGCACCAAGGTCCCTCAGAGCACTTCAAAACCCGTTTTAGTTAAGTCCTTCTATCCAAAGCATTAGAAACTTTCCAAAGAGCCAGTCGCTTATACCTGAAATGTGTATAACAAAGATTTCACGTGACCAATTTTTCTACCCATTAAGATAACCAGTCCACAAAATTAAGGCATTTGGGGGAATTAAAGGGGAATAAAGCATTTATTAAAGTTACAATAACATATCAAAGACATCCATCATATTTTTGAAAGCTCTTAACCACGCCCAAGTGCAAGAACAGCCATGGTCCCCGCTGCTGCGGGCACACACACATTCATTCTAAAGCAGAAAGGAGAAACTGAGGGTCAACGGTGAGCATTCTCTTCAGCATGTCTCCAGGCACACAGGCACATGTGTGTGTCACACCTGATGTGCCCAACACCAAACAGGAGCAGTGTGAGCTGTGCAAACACTGCAGGGCAGAGCAGGGGCACTGCTGGCTAAACTATAGCTACAAACTGTGATTTCATACATACAAGAGAGCTGTGTTCATCAATACCACACTCGAACTAGTTTAGGCACATTCGTACATTACTTGGTACACCTAAGACATCTGAAAATAAAGCAACTTAAAAAAAGAAAGAATGACCATGCATTCCAGACACTGAGCAATTACATGTTAAGGCAACAAAAGTCACCCTTCCCCCACCCACTTCTCCATTTTACCGGCCTAGAATGTAGAGTATGTATGTATTCAGCACATCACTGCACTTCGACACCTGCATGACCCTCCCGTGGAGTTCTCCTGGGACATGATCCCACTAACCACTGATGCATGCGTATCAGTTATTTTATTTCCCACCAAGGCAGGCAGGCGGGGGGAGTGAGGGAGGAGAGAAGTGAGGCCTAAGTGAGCCAGGGAGAGAGAGGTCACCTGTCCAAACGAGGCACCTTGAGGAGGGAGATCCAAGCTGGCGGGGAATCCAGACCACTCAGGACTGGTCACTGAGTGCCTGGCAGGCGGCCAAAGGAGCAAAAGCAGAAGCCTGCAGCCCCAGCGCCAGAAGACCCACCCCCAGCGCCATCACCAGCATTCAGGGAGCCGCAGGTGCCCAGGGCCTGACGTAAAGGGCAGTCCTCACTGAGAAGGGCACGCAAACTTGCTGGGAGTGTCTCTCACAGATTCAGGAGTGGCCAGAGGCCTGTCACCGCAGGGATGTTTGCTGGGTCATCTCCAGGACACAAGCCCGCGCTTCCTAACACCGCACAGTGACCTCAGAGCTTGTGCTCAGACTACCAGACAGCAGAAGCTGCGACTCCCTTCAACACCGTACCGGCGGTTTTAAGAATCCAAGAGGAATTTCTCACGACGTAAACATACACCATAGCTAGAGAGTGGGTCTCCATCTTTGGGATTTCAGAGCCTGGCAAACTTAAAGAGAAATTCTGGGGCTTGAAAAAGGGTAGCCAACATTTTGTTTTGCAACCAAGAACATTTTAAAAAGGAAAAATTTGCCCTCTGTTAACCTTTCTTATACCTAAACAGACATCTTATGACCCAAATTAGGAAGGACATAATCTCAGAATAAAAGACAACCCCTTAAGCTGAACAAACTTGACTTCATAAATTATTTAACATGTGTCTTACACTTCTGACCTGCAGAGCCCTTTGTGCGCAAGCCCTGTGGTGTGGGTCCCTATGACTTTTGCTGCCCCATGGGGCAACCAGGTCAAGCCTGATCTCCAAGGTCACAGGCTCTTCCAGCAAGGTCATCGCCTCAAATGCATATCCACTGAGAAGAGGGACAACAGTCAACGACAGCAGTTTACATGTCACAAGGATGACTCAAGTAGAAAGTGCTTTCACGTACATTCTCTCCTGTGTCCTCACAAAAGCCCTGTGGTGAAGGCACAGCCGGAAGCCGCCCACCCGGCACTCTGAACAGGACCTGCCCAAAGCCACGCGGCAGCAGGCAGCAGAGCACAGACAGAGCGCTCCTCTCTAAGGCAGATTTCCCTCTGCTCAGTCCTATGTTTGCTGAATGCTCCCCTCCTCCTACTTCTGCATGAACTTTTTATTTGAAGAAACAATTCATGGAAGAAGGAAAAAGAAAACTTAAAACGATGGCCCTTAAGCCTGATAACAGAAACATATTCAACATTAGGAAATTGCTAATTCTTTCTCTTTAAAATTACCTGTTTAATAAGTGCATGCTGACTAAAACTTATCAGATGTCAAAAGAGAACGTTAAAAACCAAGCACGGCAGCCTTAAACACTTTTCTGGAACAAGATAGGGCATAAATAAATAAATACATAAATAACATAAGTAATATGAAAAGGCACAGATATGTGTGACATTGATGGGTTTTGGAAATATATTCAGAAGCCCCACCCAGGTTGCCAAATTCTCAGAGGTATCAACACTGCCCCCCACCCCACCCCGACCCTGGCCCGTCTGTCCACAGCCAGCAGGCGCCCTAGGAGTGGTGACAGTCAGGACACTCCCATGAGCGGGCTGGGAAAACACTCAGCTCCTTTCCTTTGGTCCATCATGCCCCTCCCTGGGGAGGGCTCGAGGCCAGCCAGGCAGCAGCCTCATCGAGTACCACCACGGTTCCTCACTATGTGGGACCTGGGCATCCCAGGGCCTAGAAACGTGACTTGATAAAGTGCTCCAATGGAGAGTTACTCTTTCCTATTCTGTGTCCTATCCTTGCCAACAAAAGAAAAAGGGAGCTTTAGTCAAGCGTCACTCAAAAGAAGTAATGGCCTGCAGCAGCTGTCTACACTGTTTTCAGATTCACATTTGGCAGCTATGAAGTTTCAAACTAGAAGATGAACTTCCAAGTTGCTGGGATTCCAAAAAAATCAGCACAGGCTGGCTGAACAAAGAGGAAGCCGACGTGTTCTCTGCAAAAGAAGAGCTGAGGGCCTAGCCCCCTGCAGACCAGCCCAGAGCACACCATGCTCCAGGGCCAGAGCAGGAGAGGCCCTACTCCCTGGCTCATCCTCTCCCCACTCACACTACCTCCCTGGCCAGGCCCGGGGTGAGGCCCAACAATGAGGATCAACTCAGTCCATTCCTCATAGAGACCCTGGAGAAACGGTTCAATGCCCCAGAAACAAGCCCTACACCTGCTTCACGGGGCAAAGGAGCCTGACGCCCACTCGGTGCCGGGCGCGGTCCTGGGCCCTTGCCTCCATGCAGCCTGAAGGTCGTGCCCGTGTGTGTGGGACTCCTGCACTGGCAGCATTCCCAGGTGCTGCTTTCCAGAAGGTTCAAGAACAGAGCCACCCTCCTACCACTGGCAGGCGTGGGGAGACCCTGTCCTTCACAGGCCCCAGCAGAAAGCACCCAGCAGGCAGACTCAGAGCATGCTGCAGGTCTGCGACATGGCTCACCTGGAGAGAACCCGAGCCAAAAGGGCAGCAGAAACAGGGGACCTAGAGTTGGAAAAGCTTAAAACGTACACTAACCACCCACTCCTGAAACTCCTCTCACCAAGGTGACGAGCCACTACTCACACCTCCAGTGGCATGAAGCCCCCTCCAGTGGCCCAATCCACCTACAGGTGGCTCAAACTTCCACACAACCACTCCCTACATCCAGGCGGAGCCCCACCTCCCCATAGTTCCTGCCCCGGCCACAGTCCAATTTTGGTCCTGGTTCCACCTTGAGTGCCACGAAGAACACCCCTAACCTCCCTCCTGGGCTGAAGCCCCCGCAGCACCTGGCTCTGGCTGCAATGGCCCTCATCAGCCACCCCCCACCTACAGCTCCTCTCCTCTCTCAGGAAGACTCTCCTGACTTCAACAGGACCGCCCTGAGCTCTGAATGCACCCAGCCAACCAGGCTCCCAGTCCTTCAGGAGCGGCACACAGCCCACTCAGGCCTCAGGAAGCCATCCTACATTTATGCAACGGTGAGAGCTTGTACTGGTGTCACTTCAGCTGAGGAAAGCCTCCAATGATTGCACCTTCCCCTCTGAATCCTCAGAAGACTTTTCTTCCCTCAGACCTCATACACAGATATATGGGTCAGCTTGGCTTTCCAGCAGAGCCCATCCATAACACAGGAGGTGAGGTTTAGAATTCTATCCTCGGGCTGCAGAAGACAATGACCAGATGGGCCCTGTCTGGTCGGCTAAAACAGAGAATGATGTTAATAATTAAATAAACCCCTAATTGTTCAATTAGTTCAATTGTTACAAATTAGATTTCTCTTATTACAGAAAATCTAAATACAGATTTGAAATCTGCCCATTTCTAAACAGTTCTACAGGTAAAAATCACCATGGATCCACACAATAGTCCTCAGAGGCTTCAAATTACCAGATGTGGTCTCTCTGGAAACAGCAGCACCTGCAGCCATGGACCCACCTCCGCTGACACAGCCACACACCTGGCCACATAGCCAGGGTGTGAGTGAGCCCGGCCACGGCCCACAACTTGGGGATGACAACCTAAGTCCTCTCTCTCACCCCCCACCACCCCGACAGGCCAGGGGAAGACGTCTGACCTCACTGCTATCCCTTTCCTTAGGTTCCAGGAGCAACTCCCAAGACAGTAGTTCCAAAAAAGTGAAGAGCAATCAACCAACCACCAGATATTTTATCCAGTGGACACTGAAAGCTTGGAACCATGCTGAGGACAAGTGAATTTCCACTTTCTGATATGCACAGGCACCAAGAGAGAGCGCCGCAGGTATTTTCTTCCATTAGAACTGGCAGTGAATGCTGTTGGACGGTCCTTGGTCCAAATGTAGGCAGTCAATTACTGGCTATTCGATGTGGGCCTCCTAAAATCAATCACCGTCTGGAAGCTCCCCAGAGTGAAATGGCAGAGAACTCATGAGACCTGGTGGCATGATGCTAGGCACAGGCAGGTATCAGAACAGGTGCAGTGCAGTGGAACTTTGAGTGTTACCTCTCTAGATTTTGAATAAATGCAGGCACTGACTCTGAGATAACATAACCAATCCATGCAGCCAGAAAACCATCCTTGAATGAAGACAATTAACATGACACTCTCACCACTAGGAGGGAACACTGAAGTGGCAAAGAAGGGGTGTGTGTATGACAAATGCCACATGTCAACCCCAGGAGCAGGGAAAACAAACTAGCAAGTTCATGAACTGCATTTCTGTACTCTACTTTTTTACCAAAACTCCCTTTTCATTTAGGTATTAGAAGGCTTTAATTGAACAATTAAATTGAGAAGTAAAAAAATAAACAGAAGCGCAGTTCTGGAAAGTGCTAGGAGTCTTCCTTCCTGGGGCTATTAGCAGGCCTCCAACCTTAGCCCTACCTGCACCCATTTCAAGGCCCCTTTCATTAATATGCAACTGTGAAAATCCAAAACAGAGATATTGAGGAAGAACAAAATTAAGTTTTGTATGAGCCTCTCGGCTGACAATGACCCAAGGACTGTCTGATGCCCCAAGCCCCTGAGCTGGAATTACAATCCAGAGCCGTTCCTGCTCTACCAACAGCCAAATGGGATTGAGCCAGCAGCCTGGGATGTGGTTCACAGGGGCGGGAGTCAGTGTCAGCTGTCACTGCAGATCACCTTCTTCCTCACTGCAACCAACGGCTGCGCTCGAATTCTACTCATAAAGTAGAAACTTCTTTATGGGGTCCGGCAGAGGCAGCGAGGGAATCAGATGGAGTCGGTATTTGCCAAGAGCTCTTCTCACAGCCACACGGCACAGATTCAGCAAGGTCCTGGGGACACCTGGAGCACCGTGGGAAGAAAGGGAGAGACAGAGGAAGGGAGGTTAAGTCCTCTCCTGACTCCAAAGACCGAAGGCTGGATGTGACTGACAGCGAGAACCTCGCGATTGCTCACTGGCAACTTGCCACATTTAGAGTGAGGTGAGCAGGCCCTGGTGAGGAAGGTCTTGTTATCTGCTCCTTCCACCTGCGGAAGGAGTGAAATCGTCATCACCTGGGGCATCTGCTCACTGTGACAGCATCTCCTGGACTGTGTTTAATTGCTGACAAAGAAATAAGAGCTGACCACTGAAGGCCCCGGCAGGTGTGAGCAACTGGCCCTTACCCCTGTCAGCCTCTGCTCTTGGTCAGTCCCAGAAGCTCCAAGGAGGCCTGGAGGAGACAGGCCAAGTAACAGGTGAGGAGGGCAGGCTGACAGTTTTGCTCCAGGTCAAAAAAGCCCAGGCACATCTCTGCCTTCTGAAACGCACGGGAACACAAACAGCTTTATTCTATTAGTATGGCTCCAAATGACCAATAACCACCTCTTCTGGGGAAGGCTCAACAGGAGCATGTTTTCATGACTGGTCTAGGGAAATCCAACAGCAAAAACACAATCAAAGTGCTGTGAGAGTTAAGGGTTAGGGAAGAGGCTGTCAACTCAGATGCCCTCTAGAGCCAGGCGGGCCTGGGGGCAGGTGTGGGCAGGTCACAGAGGGTGCACAGCAGCCTGCAGAGGGCACACAAAGTCAATTCCTGAGTCCCAGAGAGAGCCTCTGACAGACCAAGCCATGGGCCAATTGCAAACATTCTGGCTACCAATTTATTAATTCATTAGCAAAATCTTTCTTCATAAATAAGCACACTATAGACTTTATTCTAACAAAAATTAGACTTATCACACAACCCAAAATGATAGTATTTGAGTAGAACTGAAGAAAGGGAAGTAAGGAATCCTAGAGGAGTAGCTTGCAAAAACCAAATATTAAGTGAAAGAATTTGGGGTCACAAAGCAGAGCAAAAGGGTAAAGTGAATATAATTCTAAGAACTTTGAGAACAAGTTCTTTTATAGATCTCCTGGTATCAACTCTCGGTGTCTAGGATTTTAAACAGAGAACACCAACCTGGAAGACATGCTGAGAAATTCCTAGTGCTAATTGAAGATTCTGACCCAGCACTTAGTTGGAGGATTTTTTTTTTTATTTGCTACAACTTGGTTCATTCAACTGACCCAAAGAGACTACAAGTTAAGCTGAACTCAGGCCACTTACTTCTGGCCTCTTTGAAGACCTGCAATGCCTCGGGGTCCACCTTCCTTCTGCCTCTCGACTCTGGGCCCAAGGATTCCCACTTCACCAGGTTCAGGTTGGCTCCAAACTCTACGAGCAGGCTCACAAAGGCTGCCTCACAGCCGTGACGCAGGACGGCATCCATGACGCAGCCGGGGGAGCCCCTGTAGAAGCCCTGTGTGTTGACAGGACCGTTGCAGTTGAAGTCAGGGTTCGCCCCAGCCTGGAGGAGCAGCTTGAAGCACTGGAGGTTGTGGTAGGCCGCGCTGATGTACAAGGGGCAGACCACCAAGGAGGTGAGGCGCCGGGAAAAAGGGGGCCGGATGTCCGGGGTCAGGTGGTGGTTGACATCAACATCAGCCCCATATCTACAGGGGAGACACAAGGACAGTCAGACCCTGCAGTAGACTAATTCCAGTCAGCAGATTCCCACAGCACCCTGAGGAGATGGGCCTGAACTCCGTGAGCACTGGGGAGCCACCGGGGACTCCACAGATCACAGTGGTCTCAGGACTTCCAGCAAGGTAAGACAGTAGTTAAGAACTTGGAATCCACTCAAACAAAAAAATTCATAAGGGAATTCTTTCAAACTTTTAAAGATCGGACAATCCCAAGGCTATTTAAACTATTTCAGAGCAAAGAAAAAGAAGGAAAACTAGCAAATTCATCTTATGAAATTAGCAAAACAATAATCCCAAAACCTGACAAAAGCCATATCACAAAGAAAAACTAATTTCCCTTATGAGTATCAACTTAATAGTCTTCAATAAAATGTTAGCAAAGAGAATCCAAAAGCACATTAAGAAAGCAATATACCATGACCTCATGGGGGTTATTTCAAGAATGCAAGGGTAGCTCCAATACTAGAAACTATATTAACATAATCCATCATATTCAGAGAACTAAGGGGAAAATCATGATTATCTCCATAGATGCGAAAATGAAGGCATATGACAAAACCCAACACTTAGGCATCCTTAAAAATACTCAATAAAATAGGTAGTGATGGATATTTCCTTAACATGATGAAAAATATTTCCTCAACCCAGAAGTCAGCATCTTACCTAATGGGGAAACACTAACAGCTTTCTTGCCAAAGCAGAAGCAAGACCCACACTCCCACTTTCTGGCCCACTGTTCTTAAGGCACTTTAAATAAAGGTTATTAGTCAGTGCAATCAGACAAGAGAAAGCAATTCACTGACTAAGACTGGAAGGAAGAGGTAAAACTTTCCCTGTTTTCAGAGGATATGATGATATGTCTGGAAAGCCCTAGATAATGAACAAAAATACAGCTAACAAGCAATAAGAGAATTTGCTAAAGCAGCAAGTTGTAAAACCAATAGCCGTCATATATACAAACAAAAACAAGTTCAAAGATAAAATGGAAAAGAAGACCCCATTTATGATGGCAAAATAAACATTAAAATCAGATATCTAAGCAAAAACTTAGTAAATGTCTAAAATTTGCATGAGGAAAATCATAAAATACTACTGAAAGTCACAAAAGTAGACCTAAGGGACTGGAAAGACATCCTATAGTCTTGGATAAGAAGACTCAGCATCAAGATGTCAATTTTCCCGAAGTTTATCATATAAATGAAAATACCATTCCTAGAACTAAATAAGTTGATTATAAATATAAATAAAAATAGCATCCCTGGAGCTGCACAAGTTGATTATAAAGTTCATTTGAATGATCAAACGAGAAAAGATGACAAAGCAAAGCAGTAACCAGAGGGAGGTGGCCCTACAATAAAGTATATATAAAGGCCTATGTAAGAAAACAGTGTGATGTTGGTTCATGGACAGATAAACCGACACACCAATGCAACTTTATGGGAAATCCAGAAATGCACCAAATTGCATATAGCAATTTAGCACATGTCATAGTAAAGGCGGCATCTCTCCCAAGTCAGTGAGGGCGAATGGACTTTTTCAAGTGTTTTTTGGGATAACTGGATAGCCGTATGGAAAAAGATAAAAGTAAATCCATTCATTGTATCATACAGTGGGATAAATTCCAAATGGAGCAGAACTTAAAATGTAAAAAATGAAACTAGAAGAAAACTCTAAGTAAAATTTGCCTAATTGTGGCTCAAAATCCAGGCAGGAGATGTTTTTAACATGAAAATTAAACAAATAAAAACTTGCATGGCAAAAAAACCGCATAAGTGAAGTAAAACAGTTAAGTGAAAAATTGGAGGAAATGTTACAAAGGGTTCATATCCTTAATATATAAAAAGCTTCTAAAAGGAAAAGATCAACAGCCCTGCAGAAAAGTGAGTGTGAGATATGGACAGCTACAGATGGCTCTTAACCACATGCAAAGATGCTCAGCCTCACTCCAAACAGAAATGCAAATTAAAACTATCCTGAGATACCACTTCTTCCCTAGCAGACTGGGAAAATCCAAAAGTTTATTGACCAGGCTTTAAAGAAACGAGAAGTCTCATTCATTTCTGGGGGCAATGCAAAATGGAGCCATCGAGGGAAATTTAGCAACTGCTGACAGAACTACATACGCATTTACCCTCTGACCCATCGACCACACTTCCTGGAATCTATTCCCAAAAGGCATGTGCAAAACTCTGAAAAGATGTATGCCTAAGGCAATTCATTAGAATATTATCCATAATAGCTGAAGGCAGGAAACAATCCACAGGTCCATCAATGGGGGACTGGTTGAATGAAGTGTGATCCATTCATAAAAAGGAACCCTGTACAGCTATGAAAAGGAATGAGGAGTATTGCTAAATATTGCTCTGGAATGACCTCCAGGACACATAAATAAGTGAGAAAAGCAGGACAATGAAAGTGTATAGTATGCTACTGTTTATCCTGGGGGAGGAAAATGCAATTCTTATGTGTACATGACACATACACATATTTTCTTATTTCTTTAACAATGGAAGGATAAGCCATAAAACTTTCAAATGGTTATCTATAGGGGAGGGATGAAGGAGATGAAGACAACAGCTAGACTTCTTTTGAAATATCTTATTTTACAGATTTGACTTTGGAACCATGTAAATATTTTACATTGTAAAACAAATTAAATAAAAAGCAATCCTTAAAAATTGAAAGCAAAAAGAAACACTTTAACCCAACTACGTATCCAATTGGTGCCATCGTGTCCTGCCCATCAGGGTGGTTCTTCCTGTCAGGTATAGGGAACAACCAGACTAGCCAGACCACTGCCAGCAAGAGATTCACCCAGAAGGACCTAGGACAGGAAGCACGCCTTGCCAGCTGGGCAGCTCCATGCAACTGCCCAAGGTGGGCAGCCCCCCACGGTGTGCATGCTCACAGCAGTCATGAAGTAATCCCTCTGGCTGCCCAGGAGCCTCCTCTTCTGACTCCCAGTGACAGCCCAGATGTGCGGAAACGAATTGCCACCTGACTTGGAACCCTCATTCACCACCAGAGTCAATCTCTAAACAACTCTATAGGTAGAGCCTTCAGGGTGCCCACAGGGACGTGCCCTTGTCACTGCACTCAGGGATGCCCAAATATATGACCTTCTATCAGGCATTTAGAGTTCTCCTAGGCCACATGCAAACTACCAATCCAGGTCATTTTACTCTAAGCAGGGGTGGCTGACTACAGCAGGGAGGGTGGCTCAGGGTGTCAGAGCCCACATGGGGTGAGGAGGCATGTGTGGGAGAGGGCAGCAGCAACAGGAGATTGGTTACATATGGGGTATTGGCAAAATAAGTAAATATATTCAGGATAAAGGGAACCAGGTCTCTCACTGTTGGAAAAGAGAATAATCAATTTGGAAAGGGAGAAAAGTAGGATGAACCCTGTGGTGTTAGATTGGATTAGAGGTGGCAAGGTAAACTCCTAACTGTCAACATATATAGATGCATAAATACAGACAGAAATGTGTATGTGTAACCTCACCTCTGCCCAGTGGGAGGGCCTAAAAACAGCAACACCTCATAAGCAATAAGCACTCCTAGTGTCCAGATCTTGGTTTCTAAATACCATCTGCACTAAAAGAAATCAGGACTCATTGGAGAAATGACTAATTCCAGTGCTGAGACAGGCAAAGTACAAGACGAGCCTAGAACATCTTATAACAAGAAAGTAAGGAACTGTTCAAAGAATGATGGAGCTATGTCAAAAGGACACAGGGCTGGCTTGTTGGGCCTGAGCCAAATCTGAGACAATCTGAGCATCAAAATAAGTAACAATAATAACAATGGATTGTAACTCACTGGATGATATAGGAAACCATGAGTCTAACATAAATGAATAAATTAAAAATTTGGTGAAGAATAGGACATGCACATGGTTGCAAAATACGTATTAATTACCAAGAGAAAAAAAATAGCTTTACAATGGAGAAACCTGGCAGACACCACCATAATCAGAGGATCAAAGTGAACATCAGCAGTAAAGGGACCGACTGAAATCATCTGCAACCTGATGGGGTGTAATGAGAAGAGCACAGCCTCACAGCCGTGAGATTCCTGCCCAAGGCGCATGACCTGACTCTAATCTGAGTGCACATCAGACAGCCCACACCTGTTCCCTGGAGCTTCCACTGCCCCAGACAGTTCTGCCATGCCTCAGTTTTGTCATCTCACGTTTCATTTGAATTAGGAAATGGCAATACGTAGAAAGTAACGATGATGCGGCTGACACGCAGGGGTCCAGGGCAAAGGGACAGCATCGTTTTCCAGGCCTTAATAAAAATGGCTGACGAAGAGCCAGCAATCATGTTTTATCATCTGTCTCTTCAGCACTATTCCTAGAATCCAAAGGAAATTTCCCCTGGAACCAAAACTCCTGCTTGGAGGCAACACAGGCCTGAGGGAGAGAAAGGACAGGCACACATGTGAGGCCACTGTGCTTCCCCACAGATGTCATGTAGCATCATCAGACACTACAAATGCAAACACCACCCGGTCTCCAAGACAGTCTAGTAGTGACAAGAGAACATTCTAAAACACATACTAAACCAAGTGGGAATTGATATTTCATTTCATACACCCAACCAATTAAGAAAAGGAGAACTAGATTTCAAGCAGTGAATTTTTCCTCCTCATTCTTAGGGACATATCTTCCAAAATGTTTGTCATTTGGGCAATATGACAATCTGGTACTTGCTGAGCTGTGGGAAAGACAGCCCTTCATCCACTCATAAAAATATACTGGATGGGTTCCACTTAATTTTAATCCTGAATATTTTCCAAAATTCCCCTACTGCTTTTAATATCACTGGCAAGGAACCACTGGAACAACTCAATAAATCAATAAAACTTTTGCACATACAGAAATATCACTCCCTACCTTTTTTTAAAAAAGCATCAGCAGTATATATCAAGGGAATTTACAAGTAACAAAATGAAAGTTACTTGCAGAGCAACACCAAATTACAAGTGACAGAAGAGAGCCCTGCCTATGAGGGACAATGACATAGGGAAGGCAGGAGTTGAGTGTAGATGATATTTAGATTGTATTACCTGTTCAGTAACTTAACCATGTCACTCCCATTGTCCAAGTCAATCATATGGTAATTTAAAATAGAGAAAAGTTTTCAATAGAATAATAGATGTTCTTGGTACCTCATCATAAAAGTAATGTCCTGTGCTCCAGTGAGGGAACAAGACGTGTTAACGTTTTCTCAAGAAGGGCATCTGCATATGTACTTCAGAAAGTCAGGCCTGCACTTAATTCAAAGCAGTTGTTCATCATGAATTGACTGAATGCCCAAAGGGATTTCTGGAACTAAGATGAAATTTCACTGATTGATCCTACTCAAAAATTTTCCAAATTAATGGCTTACATTCTCCAAGATGCAAAGATATGGGACTGAGGTGGCTTAGATTATCAGGCTAGAAATCCTAAAAAGAAGAGAAAAAAAGCATCACAGCTTTATCACTCTTTAACAACCATATCACCCTCATTTATCTTTCCAAAGGCCAATTCAATAGCCATTTAATATATAAAACCTTTTGATGGAATAAATATATTCTCAGTACCTAATTTAAAAGCCCCGTTCTACACTGGGCGAGGGGAATGCCAGGTTCTTGCTACTCAGAGCCACCCCCACTGCAGCCTGTAACCATAGAACCCTGACCTAATCCTTTTCAATACTGAGAACCCATTACCTAAATTGCACTCTGTCCAACCACAAAACGAATTGCCTCCAGAGTAAGGGAGGGAAAAAACAATCTTTGGTAGAAAGAAGTCATTGGAGACATGGAAAATGAAAATGCAATCTGGTTCAAATAAAAAAATAATAAAGGTAACCATAAGTACAATTAAAATAAAACTGTAAACTATCTAAAATAACAGAAAGGGAAAGCAAAGAAAACACAGATCATGGAAGAAAGATATGAAATAAAAGAATAGTTAAGAAACAGAAAGATAACAGAAACAGACCTAACATCAGCAATGGCAATAATGTTAACTGTATTAAAAAACAAAGAATGCCAGACAGTCAAATAACAGAGGTGAGCACACAAAGAACGACCTGAACCCACTGAGACTAAAACCATGTCCCAGGATGCCCCCAAATGACCTTCAATGAAATCACGGTTCCCTTTTGTTTTGATAATGAGCATAATCCATAAGCAAGAACTTTTATGAGCTTAATTAGCATCAAAATATAGGAAGTAAAACTACTAGAAATACAAGGGGAAACTGACAAATCACAGTAGTGATTAGAGACAAATAACAGACTTCTCTAATTCTGAGCGAATGCAATGGTTAAAAATGTAAAAAAAGAGAGACTCTGAATAACATAACTGAGGCTACCATACTGTACCATGGAAATAACACATCCACGGTCACATACTTTGTTTCAAGCATCCACAATGTAGTTTGATATTAAAAAATTAATTATAAAAAAAAGCAAAGACTCCCCAAAATGGAAATGATATGGTCTGAATTATCTGAGCACAATACAATAAAATTAGAAGTTTGTAAAAATTTTTATTAAAACTTTCTCCTCGATAACTTTAAGAGCAAGGAGGAAATCAACTTCCATTATACCTGCTTAAAAAATAAGGAAAACCTTAGCAGATATGGCCAAAGCTATGGGCAAAGGTAAATTAATAAACTTGCAAGTTTACGTTATTAATCAAGAAAAAAACGAATAAGCACTCAACTCAAAAAGTTAGGGAAAAAATAAAGGAAAATAGGAACAAATAAAGATAAAAATAGAAATTAATCAGTAAGCAGAAAACAAGAGAACTGGTAAAGCTAAGAAGTAACTGTTTAAAAAGGTTAACAAAATAGACAAATCCTCTAACAAGTCTAATTTCAAAGAGAGAGAAAAAAGCAAATACTGAAAACAAGGAACGAGAACACGGCTGCAGGAACTAGCAGCAATGTGGCCACATTCCCTGAGGTGGCCCATGCAGGGTGACGGTGGCCAGGCCTCCACAGTACTGACCTGATGAGGGCCTTCAGTATGTCGGCCCTGCCCACGCGAGAGGCATGGTAGACGGGGGTACTGCGATGGTGCCGGCTTCCGTTGGGGTCAGCACCGGCTTCAAGGAGGATCTGGGCGCTCTCCAGGTGCCCGTTCACCACAGCCACATACAGGGCAGTCTGTCCCTTTACATCCACCAGATCCACCTCGGCCCCCTTCTGGATAAGGAAGTCCACACAGTTTCCGTGGCCAGCAGTGGCCGCAATTCGCAGTGGTGTGCAGGGGAGCCAGCCACAGCACCAAACAGACTTCTCGTTGATGCGGCTACAGAAAGAACACAGGGGAGCCAGGCTGTGAGGGGCGGCCCCAGAAAATCGACGAGCTGCCCTGCCTCGTCTTGTGGCTACGATGAAAAGAGAGTAGGAGGGCAGTCTCTTACAACAGCCACCCTGTGCTTTAACAATGCTTCCATGTGTGCTGTTTTATGAAATGCTTTCATACATTTACCCTGCTGGATCCGTCGTCGTGGCAGGACAGGCATTAAGAGCCCCACCACACAGATGAGGAAACTCGAGGCCCAGGCAGACTGAGGAGCACAAGAGCTAAGAGCTCGGATTTCCTGACTCACAGTCCAAAGCTCTATGCTCTACAAAGCGGGGAAGGGTCTGCCTAGGGAGACAGTGCAGGATGGAGGCCAGCACATTTGCTGGGCATCTGGGTCAGGGCCCCCAGGCCCCTTTTCTCCAGCACAAGCTTTCTCTGAAGCCTGAGATTGGGCCTCTCTCTGGTCCTCGGCATCCTCACTGGGACCAGGTGACCACTGTGGTCCCCCTACCTCTGACACAGCACAAATGACAGCCTGCAGGACCTGCTAAGGCTACACAGAGCTATCCTGGCCAACAGCAGCAGAGGGAAACTGTCCAGACTCAGCTCCCATCGAAAGTGACACTGAGACCAGGACTCCCTGTCGAGGAATGCCATGGCTATGCAGTTCACTGACCCACCAAGTCAGCCACCAAGGCATGGTTCCCCTCGAGCTCCCAACGCAGCCTTGAACACAGCTCGGGAATCCAGAGGACTGCGGCAGAGACCCAGAAATATGTCGTGGGTCAGGGGCTCCTCTCCATTTCGGCACTGGCTTCCACCAACCAAGGAGGCCAAAGAGCACTCTAAGGACTCAGCACCAAAGAAATACACAGCAACAGAAAAATATCATCAAGAAACAGAAGATTCATTGTCCTGAGTAAAAGAAGAAAGGAAAAAAGTACTTGGAAAATGTTTTAAGACCCAGCTGAACTCCTTTTTTTTTTTTTTTTTTTGAGCAATATTAGCTCTGAGCTAACATCTGATGCCAATCCTCCTCTTTTTGCTGAGGAAGATTGGCCCTGGGCTAACATCTGTGCCCATCTTCCTCTATTTTATA